GCTGTGCCTGGTGCCATTGGGTTAAGCTGCCTGAAGGATGATCATGGTCTCGGTCTCCAATTCGGGTCTCAGACTGGTGTCCCTGATCTGTCCACACTGTAAGAAGCTCAGGAGGCACTGGCATCAGCAGCTTTCACCCTCCTGAACAGCACCCGCCACCCCCCCACTCCCACCACTCCAGGCCTCTTCTGTCTCAGGTCACAGAGCAGGTGGGTTCTGTGAAAGAACTTTCCCTTTCTCCCCACCCCCAGGTCACAGGAAATTCATTTAGTGAGAATTAGAGGGCGGGGGGTTAAAAAGAAATAGTGAAGTTGCACCTGTTTATATTGCACAAACATTTATAATAGCAAAGGAAATATAACTGTTTCCCATAGTCCCTCAACTAAATGCGTCTATTTTTCTTATCTCTGTTTCCTTCCATTCTTTGTCTAATGGTATAAATATTTTTGCCCGTGGTAGTCATAGCGTAGGTGGCATTTTTGTCATGGTCTTTCATTTAACATTTCACGTATTTTTCCATCTCTTACATGGTTTTAGAATTGTACTTAAATTTTTTTTTAATGGTTTTATTTATTCTCGTGAGAGAGAGAGGCAGAGCACAAGCAGCGGAGGGACAGAAAGAGAGGGAGACACAGAATCGGAAGCAGGCTCCAGGCTCTGAACTGTCAGCACAGAGCCTGATGTGGAGCTTGAACCCACGAACCGTGAGATCATAACCTGAGCCAAAGTCAGATGTTTAACTGACTGAGCCACCCAGACACCCCTAAGAATTACACTTTCAGGACTTTTTGTAAAAAGTTCTAAATGTACCTCCGTGCATAAACTTTTTTCCTTTGATTTTATTGTCAGTGGAAATCATATGAAATTATTGGGTCAAAGAATACGAACATTTTCATAGCTTTTGGAACATGAAGCAGTTTTCTTTACCAAAAGAGTAATATCCATTCCCACTGCTACCAGGAACATATAAACAGGCTTATTTTAATTCATAACCTTGATGGTAATAGGACTTAAGTACTGCTAATTTAATGGGAACAAAGGGATTCCCTGGTTTTAATTTATACTTCTTTGCTGTTAAAATGAGTCTTTCCCCATATTTATTTGTGTTGCCTTTTATGTGAATTGTCTCTTTGTATTCTTTGCATATCTATCTACTGGACTTGGCATTTTCTTACAAATTTATATGAATAACTGATAATTCCCCCCAGGCCACCTAAATTAATGCCTTAAGTTTAAACATGGTAATGAAAATAAAATCTTCAAAAATAAATTTAATATGTACTACATAAACACATGTTCAATAAAAATAAGATTTTACAGTGCTTATTGTTTGTCAAGCACAATTTAAATTTTTTTTTTTTTTAACATTTATTTATTTTTGAGACAGAGACAGAGCATGAACAGGGGAGGGGCAGAGAGAGAGGGAGACACAGAATCTGAAACAGGCTCCAGGCTCTGAGCTGTCAGCACAGAGCCTGACGCGGGGCTTGAACTCACGGACCGTGAGATCATGACCTGAGCCGAAGTCGGACGCTTAACCGACCAAGCCACCCAGGCGCCCCTGCCAAGCACAATTTTAAGCATTTTACCCAACTTTGTGAAATATGTACTACTTTATTCCCATTTTATAGATGGAGAAACTGAGGCAAAAAGCAATTAATAAATTTGTCCAGGCCAAATTCAGTAGTTAAGGGGCAGTATGGCTTCTATGTATGTGCTGTAACCCCCTTACTCTTATTAGTTTGGGGAAAGAACCAGGGAAGGAGAACAGTTGGGGAAGTACTGTCCTGAGAACTGAATCAGGTATGGGGGCACCTGAGTGACTCACTCGGTTAAGTGTCTGACTTGATTTCTGCTCAGGTCATGATCTCATGGTCTTGAGATGGAGCCCTGCATTGGGCTCTGTGCTGAATGTGAAACCTGCTTGGGATTTTCTCTTTCCCTCTCTCCCTGTCCCTTGCTCGCTCACTCGCTCTCTCAAAATAAATAAGTGAATCCGATATAATCATCCAGTCCCGTAGACTCACGAAATTTTTGAAACAGTATGTTAAATTCTCTTGCTTCTCTGAACTGATTGCTCACTATTTTTAAATGAATGGAGGGGCGCCTGGGTGGCTCAGTCGGTTGAGTGTCTGACTTCAGCTCAGGTCGTGATCTCAGAGTTGGTGATTTCATGGCCCCGCATCAGGCTCTGTGCTGACAGCTCAGAGCTTGGAGCCTGCTTCACATTCTGTCTTCCTCTCTCTCTGCCCCTCCCCTGCTTGTGCTGTTTCTGTCTGTCTCTCTCAGAAATAAACAAACATTAAAAATAAATAAATAAATAAAATGAATGGAGAAGTGAGAAAATGTAAGCAATAAACTTTTAAGTAACTATACACACCTCATGACTTTAGGAATTGTTACCAAGGGGGTTTTGAAAGTGTGTTTCTCTTTTAGATCCTCAGACTAGATAATGTGAACTGACTAGTCTTCAAATTTGCTGATTCTTTCTTCCTGCCAGTTCAAATCTTCCATTCAAATTCTCTAGTGAATTTTTGCATTTTTCCATCTGTGTGTCCCAGTCGGGGCTTCTTGGTGGGGCCCATTGATACTCTTCCTGTTTTTGTTCTGTCCATTTGTGCTGTTAAAAATCCTTTCCTCCTTGTGATTTAGTTTTATTTTGACCAGTGGTTCTTAGATCATAGAAACCTATTTTATTTGTTTTAAGCAGATTTAAGGGATTCCATTTTAGGGTGCTTCCAAATTATATGCTGAATAATGAATGAATTTTCACAATTTGGAGATGCGAAAGTAGCATTAGTATAAGAATTTAAGTCTTTGCTCTGTGGGTAAGAAAATAAATATGCTGGGACAGACAGGACGCTTTTATTAGTGGAGCTTTATTGATTTAAATCATTTTATATGAAAACAGTAGAGCTCTGCCCAGAAATAATAATGTAAGAAAATTTACAGAGGGCTGTTTACCCCACCCCTCCTTCCTTACCCCCACCATGCCTCATATATCCACGAGGTTTGAAATACGTCTTTAGGAGGAACTGTGGGCTGCTAAAATTGTAATCACAAACGAACAAGCAAAAATCACACTGTCCCCTAATTCTGTTTCCATAACTACCATGTATATTAGTGACTTTCAGTTGTAATCTGAATGAGTTGTAGTGAACTTGTACATTGTGAGTTATGGCTTTTTGAGGTCTTCTGCATGGCACGAACGATCAACCTCAGCATTGTCAGTCTGGAGTTTTAGTTTAGTGTGACAAAACTGGGGAAACTCTCTGATGCTCTCTTCAGTGTCTTTCCAAGTAAAATATGGAACTGTGAAATTCTGGTATACAATGGTCCTTTAATTAATCGGAGAGGACCAGCATGAGTGAGTATGGGGTGGAAAAAGACATGCTTGGGTTGCTTGAAAGAGGGCCTCCACTCATATCAACTTGAATGGGATACTGAAAGTCAACGTTCAATCTAAGAATTTAGGGTGGTACACTCTTTGCCATAGGGATGCCAGCTCTTGGAGACTGGAGTTAATCAGGCTTATTTTCCTGTTGAGTTTATTGAGGATTCCAGGAAATCAGATCATCTTGTACAGTTCAACCATCACAGAGAAAGGGCTGGGTATTTGTTATCGAAAGCAGTTTCTTTCATCAAGTTGAATCTCTGCTGAGACAGCAGCCAGGTTTTGAAAGGGGGATGCACCTTTTCTCAACAGGGTTTCCTGCCATGGTTGTAAAACCTCCCAACAGGAGTAATTAGGCACCTCGCAGGCTGGCCAAGGGCCACCGCGACCTACTTGTTGCCACTGACCAGAAGCAGACCTGTGCTGCGCTTGGCTGGTGGACAAATGTCCAGAGTTTGGTTCTGATTGTGTCCTGGCTGGGTGCTTTCATGCAGTACACACACTATAAAATGTATGATGTGACCTGAAAAAGACCAGTAGTAACATAGCACAATAGGGGCAAAATGGTCCAGTTCAGGTAAATTTCTCTGCTTCTAATGCAATTTACTGGTAACATGTATTTTCTTTAACTTGAGCTTTCTAGCCCACCTGTTTGGGGTTGCATCTTGGTCTCCTCCCTCACTGTGTCACAGACATACTAGGCTCATTCTTACCTCTGTGCTTCAGCAAATAGCAGCTGCTCCTTTCTTTTCACGTGGCTGTCTCCTGCTCACCCTTCAGGTCTCAGTTTAGATGTTGCTTCTTTCAGGAAGTCTACCCAGATCTCCTAAGTCTGAAGGATCCTGTTTAGATACCCTCATAGTATTTGAACTTCTACATCATAACACTTTTTATAGGCTTTTTGATTTTTTTATTAATTTTTAAATGCTTATTTATTTTTTGAGAGAGAGACAGAATGCCAAGTGGGGGAAGGGCAGAGAGAGAGAAGGAGACACAGAATCCGAAGCAGGCTTCAGGCTCCAAGCTGTCAGCACAGAGCCTGACGCAGGGCTTGAACCCAGGAGACATGAGATCGTGACCTGAGCTGAAGTCGGATGCTGAACCGACTGAGCCACCCAGGCGCCCCTCCATCACACTTAATACACTACAATATTATACTTTGTTTTCTTGTCTGCATGTCTTCATTAGCATTTAAACTTCTTGAGGCAAGAAATGTGTATGTTCTGTTCATAGTTGTATCCTGAAGTTGTATCATAACACTTGGCACCCAATAAACATTGAAGAACAGATTCATAAATGCATGGTATGAATTTTTGTTGGTTGATGGATTCTGAATATTTGCTTTGGCTTGGTTTTATCGGCTGTGACAGGTTTAGCTGTTGAATAAGTGAATTTGCAAATGTGAAAGGCAAATCCCTAGTGAGATAGTGCGGGTGGCTAAGTGGTGTTTCTTAGGTGTCTCTTCTCGATTTGTTGGTTGACTAAGGATGGCCCACCCGAAAGGTTCTGAATCATGTGACTTACTCAGATGATGATCCCAGAGTTTTTCCTGGAAAAACTGAATATTTACTAAAGCACACTAATCTTTTCTTCTTGCCTTCTCTAGCACTGGAAGACACAGCGTAGTGAAGAGTATGAAGCGGAAGGTAGGAACTGTGTGTGTGTTGGAGCCTGCCTGGAAAGGAAGGGCTGCCATTCCCAGGGCACTTTCCACGTCCCCATTTCCTGCATCTCTTAGCCTTCTTCCCAACAAACAGCCTTGCATGCTGGAGGCCCGCTAAGAAGTAACGTTAAGAACAACAGCAACAACAAAAAAATCCATTCCCAATGGAAAGTTCATAGTTTTAAAATCCCAGCATTTTAGCCTCACACAAGGTATGGCAACTAAGATGTAGAATGTCACTTATGGGTTAATTACTCTCTTAGGCAAACTTTCAAATTAACCTATTTAGTGTTGAACTGCTGGGGCCAGCAGATGGCACTGTGGTTCAGCTGACAGAATTTGAGCCCACCTCACAGCCTACCTACCCTGGCTGTACTCTACTTAAGTGTAATTACTGTGTGTTCTCTATGTCTCTAACCTGGAAAGACACAGCAGTAATGAACTTAGTTTGTTCAATAAATAGTAACGGTAGCACTAAATGCTCTTCTCAACCCTCTAAGGTTCTTCCAGGCACACAAAACTGTCCTAGTAATTATCTCATGATTAAGTACTGACTTTATAAAACTCTCGTATGTAAGTGGAAAGTTTAATTAGAATTTATGATAAAGGATAAGTAAATTTTGATTTTTAAATGAGTTTGATCCTTAGGTTTTCAAATAAACTTTATCCTTAATGTATAGGTAACTAGCAACTTGTAGTTTACAACCATTTATTCTTTCAAGTTGGTTTGTTTGTAGGTCAGAATATTTAAACGTGTAAACAGGCTAATCCTGAGACTTTTATTATTTTATGATATTTATTATGAAATCATTTCCTTCTTAGTAAAAGCAGTTCTAGTGCTTAGACCAGAAAGAAAGTGGTGATTAGATAAAGTCTGGTGGCTGTAGTTGAGGCAGGGCTGATAAATCTCTTTGGAATGGTTCTCAACTAGCCTTCTCTTCCAGTTACATCCAAGCCTTAAGCCTGTGCATGTTTTCAGTTGGAATAAAACAGACTAGAACCTTGGTATGCTTGCACAGGAGATATTTCTCGTGTGGTATAGAAAAATGTGCCTGTTTGCTCTTGTTGCAGCCTAAGAACCAGTGGTTCCATTTCATTTGGGCTAGATTCAAATCAAGATGGAATCAGCATTTCTAGTCTCTTTCTTGTAATATTTACTTTCAAAAAGCACAGTTTTCTTTGAGAACAGGCTCTCTCTCTTTGCGATTCCTTTGGGAACAGCAGAATATATGTTTTTATTTCAGGCCAGTTAAGATTTTGGAACCCAGATGACTTGAATGCCTCACAGAGTGGGTCTTCTGCTCCCCAAGACTGGATAGAAGAGAAACTGCAGGAGGTTTGTGAAGATCTGGGGATCACCCGTGATGGTCACCTGAACCGAAAGAAGCTGGTCTCCATCTGTGAGCAGTATGGCCTGCAGAATATCGATGGAGAGGTAAGCCTTGCATCATATTTTTATTCAGGAATTATAATCATGATGAAATCTGAACTGGTCACAGACTAGGAACAGCCATATTTTGCCTTCCTGCAGCATGTTACAGAGATTCCATTCTCTTTTTTTCCTAGGAGATAAGCCTTGAAGATTCTTTCGTAAGAAGCTTGTGTTGGGTTGTGGGAAAAAAACCCAAACCTGACAATAGCTGACACTCATTGAACCCATAGGACGTGACCCTCACTGTGCTAAGCATGTTACCCCACATTATTACTAGACACTAACCAGCTTGGTGCGGCCATCATGTCAGATATATCTGTAGAAGTGGCATTCACAAAACACAATGTGAGAAGGACCTGGAGGAAGGATTATGCAGGGAGTTCAGAAGATTTGAATTGGGAGAATATTTCAAAGGCCAGACTGATGAGTTTAGGTTTTTGGAGAGAAGATCTCAGTATCAACCCTGCATTCTTCAGCAGATTGAGTAACATACAAGAAAAACTTAGATCCTGAGGATGGTCTGAGCTGCTTTTATGGGGTATATTGGTGTGCAGACAGCCTTTGGCTAGGAGACCAGCCAGCCAGGAGCTATCACAGTATTCTGGTCATGAGGAAATGGAAAATGGTGGGCTGGTGGTTTTGAAGATGCAGGAGAATCTTGAAGGACCCCACCCCCGCCAAAAGACTCTTGCTTGGTAAAATTCTGAGCTTTACGTTTTCTGAAAAGTTAAGATGGGAACTGGCAGGACTGGGTGCTTGAAAAGCCATGAAATATAAGAACATAAATAATTCTAAGATATGTCTTTCAAACAGCTGAAAATAAGGACTGGAGGTTAGGGCTACAGTTGTAGTTTGGGGAATCTTTGATTAGAATGCTATTTGAAACCATACTCCCTGCTTGTTCAGGGGATAAATGATATTATTCTCCTAAACCAAAAACAGATTTATCATCAAAAGCTACCAAGTAGCCTCATTTGCAGAAGAGATTTTTTTCCTCCTCCTCTGTAGTATATGTGACTTTTATATACCCATTGACTACCTTTTTAATGGCTCCGTGGTCATTTATTTTCTAGTGTTGTTGAGTTGTAACATTAAATTCATCCTCCTAAATTATAAACCCAGTGCAGTATGCAGAACCTTGGGATGTTTTGCCAAGAAATACTGCACAATACTGCACAAACTTGGATTATTTATCTAAGAACAATTCTTGGAATAAACTGTAGCCATTTGTGGGGAACTGCATTTTCTTCTGTGGTGGAATTTCTAAAACGCAAGGGAAGAAGTAGCTTATTTAGTTATTTTCCTCTCATCCAAGGATGAGTAAAAGATTGCTCATTGAGTATAGCTTTTACTTAATGTTTCCCCCCACCAAAAAAAAAAAAAAAAAAAAAAGTCATGAAATACTATAGTACTTTGTACTGTTAGCTCTCGACCACAGAGGAGCTGAAAGTTCAAGATGATCTCATCCACAAGCAACTTGGGATCATAGGATTTTATGACTGAAAGCAATTTTAGATTTAGTCCTCTCCTCGTTTTCTAGATAAAGAAAGTGATGTCGCTGCTGCTTGTTGCCGTTACCAGGAAGGGGAACTAGACTCACTGTCTCACGTACTATGCTTTCCAGAAGAAAGGACCGCTGTACGGCAGGGAGGGCACATGCCAAATATGGCCCAAAGTTTTGAGTTGCTTTTGCTGTTTGTTCTTTTGCTATGCCCCATGTTTAAAAATTGAACTCTTGCTACACTTTTTTTAAATCAGATTTTTCTAAAAACCCAAAGATTTGACTCCCATTTTGCTAGCCGGGAGAAGTGGCTGGCTAGCTCCTCTGGACAGGACACGCACTCGTGTGTTCAGTTCCCTGCTTTAAACGGCACTCCTTTGTAGTGTCTCAAAACCATCCTGCCTCATTCATTAGTATCACCTTCCTGGCCTCTCTGGGTATTTGGGTTTGTTATCCTATTCTAGTGCATTATGTCCCAGTGTATACCTTGGGAAATCAACCATCCAGAGACCTGCCTGGCTGGTGTGTTGTGAGGAGTAAGAATGTCCTCAGGGTTCTGGATCTGGCTCCTGCACAGACTGCGGAGGTGCCCCACTTGCCCATTTGACTTGTGTTCTATTTAGCCCAACCCTGCCTTTTTCTGAATCTACAACCTTCTGTTCACCACTCGCCTACTCCCCCCATGTACAATAACTGGTGGGACTCACCTGCTCCTCCACTTTGAATGAATGAGGTGATGGGTTTTTAGGCAGTCTAGAAGCTGTGCATCAATTTGGCCAGGGTCACAAGGCCAAGCAGTGTGGAGCTAAGGTTAGAGCCAAAATACGATTGTTCACTTCAGTCAGCACACCTGGATTTTACTGTGACTTATGGTTTGATGATCCCGAGAGCCTAGTCCTCTAAGAAAGTGTTCTTTGGTTTGGTAAGAACAAGACAGAACTGCTGAGGGATCTTAGTGACCTCAAAATCTCACCCAAATACCTTTCCATTGGTTTTACCGTATAATTCTCTATTAGAAACTGTTCCTCTTCCAAAGATTTTCACTCTTTAGAATGGTTTCTTGTTTCAGAGTCCTCACCAGAGGAAGTGGTATTAAAAAAAGAATAGAGACAGATGTTTCCTATTGGATGTGAATTGGAAAGAAGCATTTGAGATAAAAGAAATGCCTCAGGCACTTCCATGAAGAATAAAATCAACATTTATGAGATGATGAATCCTAGCAATAGTCCAGACTTACAAAATGGATATTGAAACTTTGAAGATGTGTTACAAAGAGGCCTTTGTTAGAATGGACCCAGTTGCAGACTCTAATGCCTTCAGATTAAATGTGTTGCTTACTCTGTGGGCATCACCTGAGAACTTGTTAGAGATTCAGAATCTCAGACCCCACCCCCAGATTTAACTGTGTCAGAGTCTGCATTTTAACAAGATCCTCAGGCGATTTCTGTTCTGTACAATGGAGGGGTGTCTGTATAGAGAAACTTAAGCCCCCAAAGGAAAGAGGAATCCAACTGCCAGGAAAAAAGAGCTCATTGCCTTTCCTCCCTATTCTGTGGTGTCAGTGACTCATGCCGCTTTATCCGTCCTTTCTATTCCTCTACTGCGCTAGGGAACAAACCATCTTGTAGGCAAGGCTCCGAAGGGACTACAATCCAGTCTCTCCTTCCCCAATTACATGATGAGGACTACTGGATTACCGTTAAAGGGCACAAAACAGCCAGGCAAAATTCCCTTCTCTTTACATCTCTTGGGGCCCTTCCGTTGGACACACACAAAATCTTTCCTATCCGACCTTCATTTCTCCCATGCTAAAGCATTAAAACAAACCCCAATACATGCAGTCCTGTTCCAAGTAGTGCTCTAAATCCCGAGTCATGAGTTTCAGACCCAAACTCTTAGATCATTGCAGTCTGTCCCAGACCAAATTCTGCTGTGCCAACATACCAATTGCAAAAATTCAATATAAACAAAATATCGTGTTGAGTCACCGCAATATAATAGTTTAATGACTGTCCAAACTTATTTCTATTGTTACAACACTGGAAAGCTATATCTTTATATTTTTTAATCCATAAGAATAATGTGTAGCAACATTAAATATTACCCATTTGGGGCGCCTGGGTGGCTCAGTCCATTAAGCATCCCACTTCAGCTCAGGTCATGATCTCACGGTTCGTGGGTTTGAGCCCCGCATCAGGCTCTGTGCTCACAGCTCAGAGCCTGGGACCTGTTTCAGATTCTGTGACTCCCTCTCTCTCTCTGCACCCTCCCCCGCTTACCCTCTATCTCTCTGTGTCTCTCAAAAATAAATAAATGTTTAAAATTTTTTTTTTTTAATTTTTTTTTCAACATTTATTTATTTTTGGGACAGAGAGAGACAGAGCATGAACGGGGGAGGGGCAGAGAGAGAGGGAGACACAGAATCGGAAACAGGCTCCAGGCTCTGAGCCATCAGCCCAGAGCCTGACGCGGGGCTCGAACTCACGGACCGCGAGATCGTGACCTGGCTGAAGTCGGACGCTCAACCGACTGCGCCACCCAGGCGCCCCTAAAATTTTTTTTTTAATTAAAAAAAAGATTACCCATTTTACAAGTGTGAGTAAAAAAGAAAACAGTTAATTGCTAAATTGCCTAGGATTATGAAAATGGATGTTTATACTTAGCTTGTGGAGGAGGAAGGACATATTACTGAAAAGGAAAATAAATTCAGTGAAATGAGAATAAAGGGACATGTTATATTTCTGGAGCCTTGGGGTCAACAGTGGTGCCAGTTTCTATTGGCCACGAATGTACTTTGGGCCTTGTGTTATTTTGAGGGAAATATTTAAAGTAAATGGTTACTCTTTTCCAGATGCTTGAGGAAGTCTTCCATAATCTTGATCCTGATGGTACAATGAGCGTAGAAGATTTTTTCTATGGCTTATTCAAAAATGGAAAATCCCTCACACCATCAGCATCTACTCCATATAGACAGTTGAAAAGGCACCTCTCCATGCAGGTGAGAGAGAAATAACTTTGTGAGCAGAAGTTAAAACCCACTTGAATAGTTTCTAATGAATTAATCTGTTGTTTGAAGAAGAATAAGGAGAAAGAGAGAAGCAAAAGAAGAAGAAAGACTAAACCATTGGGAAGGAAAAGTTGGGTTTGAAAAATGACCATAAATTACAGAGTGGGAAGCCACTAATTATGCCCTTTAATGTTAGCTGTGGGTCCAAAGAAACCTGGTGTTAAGTAAAGACACATCTCATCTATGTCAAGGATCTCCCTACCAGAGCAACTGTTTTTGATAAGTTTTGCATTCTTGACTCCCTTGGGAAAGAGAGATCAAAGGGGCTGCGTGACTTTATTTTTTTTTTTTTTAATAGTGTTAGAAAGACACGGCTTCTGCTCAGTGTGGTCAGGACGGACCAGTTGGGGTCAATGTCTGGTTGAAAGGCCTGACCTTGCTCAAGTCTCTTTCTTCTCCCAGTCCTTCGATGAGAGTGGACGACGTACCACAACCCCATCAGCAATGACAAGTACCATTGGCTTTCGGGTCTTCTCCTGCCTGGATGATGGGATGGGCTATGCATCAGTGGAGAAAATACTCGACTCCTGGCAGGAAGAGGGCATTGAGAACAGCCAGGAGATCCTGAAGGTGTGGCAGCTAAAATGAGAGAGAAATGACAGACTGGGGAAGGGTTGAAAAATTCCAGAGCTTTTGAAACTGATTTGATTTGATTCGATTTGATTTGATTTCTCCTTAATGATTCTTCTGTTCACAAGCTCTCAGAAATAAGAAGTAACTTTTCTTACCCCCTTTAACCAGGAGTCTGTTGCTAACTACTTTCCATGTTTTTAACACCAAAACTATTGACAAGTGCAATGCTCTTAACTGATCTCTGGCTGGTAAAGATTAGAGTTATACTATTGTATTTATTTACAGTGCTAGAGAATATTTTGTTAAACATGCACGTAAGCATGTATGGTTTCCTTAGAACTTCAATTGAAGGTTGTTCCCAAGCAGTCACTAAAGAAATGTGATCATCCAACTTCTTGACTGTACATTCACTTCTCTGGGTTTGTATACCCTTCACAGCTTCCGCTTTAGAGGACAGAACTTGTAATTATCTTGAACTTGTTCTGATTTCTAGGCCTTGGATTTCAGCCTTGATGGGAATGTCAACCTGACAGAATTGACACTGGCTCTTGAAAATGAACTTTTGGTCACCAAGAATGGCATTCACCAGGCAGCTCTGGCCAGCTTTAAGGCTGAGATCCGGCATTTGCTGTGAGTTGCTTGGAAGGTCCACCCGCCCTATTCCCTTTCCTGCCTGCCCAGCAAGTCCTTTAGAGGCCTGTGACACATTCTGTATGCAAATGGGGCTAATCTCCTATCATCTCACTATTGTGAAAATTAAGTAACGCTTAGGTTTGCATGTAGGCTTCTGAAGGAAGCTGTGGAAGTGTTTATTTTGGAAGGGTTTTGGTTGCCTTGGTTTTGTTTTTGTACTGAAGCCAGCCAGAGGAGAACTTTTTTGGGTCCACCTGTTGCTTAGAGATGGTTTCCCTTTAACTTGGGCTATTTCTCTTTCAAGGGAGCGAGTTGATCAAGTGGTCAGAGAGAAAGAGAAGCTGCGGTCAGATCTGGACAAAGCTGAGAAGCTCAAGTCTCTAATGGCTTCCGAGGTGGATGATCACCATGCGGCCATCGAGCGGCGCAATGAGTACAACCTCAGGTGGGACTGGCGGGGCCAGGGCCCTCTTTCCCACCACACTGGCCAGGGTGGGGGGGCTCAGCCTGCCTGCCTGCTCAGCCACACCTGGACGCTTTAAGGAAAGCAGGACCCAGTAGATATTTCCATCTCTAGGACTCTGTGTTTCCATTTTTGGTGGGTCTGCATAAGGACCTCTGAGGGTCTTACTGGCAGCTTATTGGTCTTTCCTCCTCACAGGAAACTGGATGAAGAGTACAAGGAGCGAATAGCAGCCTTAAAGAATGAACTCCGAAAGGAGAGAGAACAGATCCTGCAACAGGTGGGCAAGCAGCGCTTGGAACTTGAGCAGGAAATTGAAAAGGCAAAAACAGAAGAGAACTACATCCGGGACCGCCTTGCCCTCTCTTTAAAGGTAGTCATCCTCTTAGTTCTCTGGTCCGTGTCCCTGCTGGGAACACCACATGGAAAACCACAGCTCTGGAAAGAGGGCAGGTCTGCCCAGGGTGCAGTCCCAGGATTCCCGTATATTTGTCCTGCTGGGTCATGACCCAGACGTGACAGAGCCCCTGCTGGGATCTAGATTGCAGGAGTGTCCAGGCTTCTGGTGTGCCCTCGGTGTCAATCAGCAGATCTTGTTCTTCTCACCTCTTGTAGTTGCACTGAGTCATTAGGGCTCTTTGGCACCTGGTTGATGACTTCTCTCTTCCCCATCCCCCACCCGATTCTGAGCAGATGGCATGGTCTCCTGCCACACACAGGTCGTCAGCTTTGTTTCTTTGCTTCCAAATATGTCTTTTGCCTTATACATCCTCTCCTCTTTTCTCGTGTCTCAGTAGAGGAAACGATCCTTCTCTTCACTGGACTCTGATACGGTGCAGCCTACTTCCATTCTGGATACCACTACTTACCGGAAAACCTCGATCACGTTATCCAGACCTGTTTCCTAATGTACAAAATGGGCACCATTGTAATATCTGCCTCATAGCATATTTAATATGGGGACTAAATGAGATGCTGCATATGCAGCCTGTAAAAGGAAATAAGTACGCGTAGTATATTAACTGTTGTTCCTGAAACTCCACACATCAAAAACTGAGCTAACTCTCCCACCCTAACCATCAAATCGCCTCTTTTTCTGAATTTTCTCATTAATCTGTGTCATTACTATGAGGTGTCACAGGAGCTAAAACCCTCAGTCATCCCCGCTCATCAGTCTCTAAGTCCTGTTGGTGCTCTGAAACGTCTCTCAGATTTATCCCCTTCCTCCATTTCTGCAGGCTGTGAACAGGTTCAGAATTTCAGCTGACTTACGTGCATCTTTTCTTCTATCCATCCAGCCTCCATATGGCCACTAGAGTTACATTACTCAAGAACCCTAAAGAACTTAGTGAAGACGTGCTGTTACCCTGTGTAAAAGTACAGCGTGGTAGCACTGAAGGCCCTTGGAAGGGCACTTGTCCTTATACTTTTCCACCCTCAGGTCCTGCCAGCAACCCCCTGAGCCATGCCCTTAATCCGACCGCACCTGCCATCAGATCTCGCAGTTTCTCAGTGGGTCTTTATGCTCCTTCACTGCTTTTGCCAGCACTGCAGACCACATGACTCTTTCATTCCCATTATGCTTCCTTTTTTCTTGACGGAAGATAGTGCATCACAGATAATTGTGTCTACATCTGTCTCCCTCCCCACTGTCCAGATTGTGTTTTCCCTATGGTCAGTAACAGAATCTGATTTGTTAGTTTCCAGAGCACCAGAACAGGCCCAATACACCACAGAGATTGCTCCTGTTTTGACATCTAAATTTAGACATGCTTTGAAAGCTTAGAGGTCTAGCACCGGCGTTTTGGGAGAAAGTGTTTTTTTTTTTTTTTTTTTTTTTTTTTTTTTTTTTTTTTTTTTTTTTAGGAAAAAATTCTTCAAGCATACTCTTTTTCATTCCATATTGCTATGTGAAGAGTGTGAACTAGAATGTATTAAAAATATACTGGCTTTATATTCTTCTGGCAAAATACGCTTTGAAAATAATGTTCTTCCAATCAGCCTTTAACACTGGAATGGAACATATGTCAAAATGCATGTCTGTGTAGTTTTATTTTTTTAAACAAATGTGGGTGGAAATCTCTCCAGCAAGTTTTATATATACAGAAAAAAAACCACCATTTGTGGACTTCTGTTCATGTGTTATTATAATAATTTCAGTATACAAGTTATGAAAAACTTGTATGTGCAGCTTTTACACCATTAAGCCAAAATAAGATTGTAAAGTAAATATCAACAAACTATATCTTTAATAAATGATATTTAGTTTTTTTTTAAGTTTATTTCGAGAGAGAGCAGACATAAATGGGAAAGGGGCATACAGAGAGAGGGAGAGAGAGAATCCCAAGCAGGCCCCACACTGTCAGTGAAGAGCTCGACGTGGAGCTCAAACTCATGAACCATGACATCATGACCTGAGCTGAAGTCGAGAGTGGCGGGCGATCAACCAACTGAGCCACCCAGGCTCCCCTAGTTATTCTACCTTTTTATGTTTTTTCCTGAGTTCTCTTTTGCTGATAGGTAGCCTGCAGCCAATTGTAATAATGTGTTGAGAATGTTTTTCCATGTCATTAAATACTACATTCCAATGCTATTGGAGAGAAATACGATGCAAACCGTATATGTAACTTCAAATTTTCAAATGGCTGCATAAAAAGAAACAGGTGAATTTAATTGGAATCATTTTATTTAATCTAGTATCTCCAAAACATTATTTAGACTCCTAATCCATATACAAAAATTATTATTGAGCCATTTTATAGTTTTGCACTAACTTTTCAAAATCTACTGAGTATTTTACATACTTAGAGTATATCTCTATTTGTACTATACATGTTTCAAGTGCTTAATATCTGCATGTGTCTGCTAACAGCTACCGTATTAGCATAGTTCTGTAGGATCAAAGGAAGGGGGCAAACTTTTGGGTTATAAGATAAATACCAATTTTTTAATCTTTACTTTTGTCTTCTGTAATCTACTGAAACTTTCAAGCTGAGCAAATTTTCTCAGTCTAGAGCATGAATTTATGCTTCATATAAAATGGTACAGCAGTTTGCTAATTTTTAATCTGTGCCCATTTACTTTCCCCAAATTGCTTCAGGAAAACAGTCGTCTAGAAAATGAGCTTCTGGAAAATGCAGAGAAGTTGGCAGAGTATGAGAATCTGACAAATAGACTTCAGCGAAATTTGGAAAATGTGTTAGCAGAAAAGGTAAACCTGTTTGAATTTGATCTCCTGATATGCAGCCCAAAGTGTAGTTTACTCAAAAGAGCAGAAGCAATGCCACCAAGTAAATTTCTGTTAGGGAAGTATTTAGATGGCTAAAGTAAGCCGTCAGTTTTACAGGGATCTAATTTCAGACATTGGATACAAGGGAAACATTGCATATACTGAGAAATGACCCCTGCCTTAGTTGAACACATCACTCTAGAATGTTCTCCCATCATCCAGTTGGTAATGTTCTGCATAAATGTCACATTCCTTTCATACTCAAGAGACCATACTCTGGGTGAACACCAGAAACTGAGGCCTTTGGTGGGTTAAAGGTCCAAGACGGACACTTGGGGCAAATGAAAGCTGTGTCCTTGTCCTTTTCTAGTTTGGTGACCTTGATCCTAGCAGTGCTGAATTCTTTCTGCAAGAGGAGAGGCTGACACAGATGAGAAACGAATATGAGCAGCAGTGCAGGGTAAGTGACTAAAGAGAAATTAAGTCCAGGAGGGCCTGGGTTCAAATCCCACTTCACCATTTACTAGTGACCATAAGCATGTTACTTAATCTGTGGGTTCCTCAGTTCCTCATCTATAACATGGTAAAAATAAGAGTACCTGCTCAGTAGGTTGTGAAGAATTAATGAGTGAATATATGTAGAGTGCTTAGAACAGAGCCTGGAACATAGAAAGCACTTAGCCCAAACGTTAGCTGTTATTATTTAGTACCCAGAATATTAGGGAATCATGCAAACTGCATTTAAGTCTGTTTTAGCTAGGTCAGAAATTGCTAGTGCTTAGGGGAGAATATAGTAGTTTTATTCCAGGTAGAGAAATACGTGGTCATGTTCATGTGCTTATTCCAAAATGAGCATTTTTTTAAAATGTTTGTTTGTTTTTGAGAGAGAGAGGAAGACACAGAATCTGAAGCAGGCTCCAGGCTCTGAGTTGGACATGGGACTTGAACCCAAGAACCATGAGACCATGACCTGAGCCAGAGTCAGACACTTAAACCAACTGAGCCACCCAGGTGCCCCTAAAATGAGCCT